TGTGTAGTCACATCTATGGGGTAAAACATCTATTAACAAATACGGCCAAAAGAAATTCAGTCAATAAATACCTGTAAGAAGTTATTCAAATGTAGGAAATTTGCTGTAGCAGAATTTTTAAGACTACCTAGAAATATTGATGAAATCGGAAGGTGGAAAGCAACAGGATTAGATCAGTTTTTATTGTATACCTAGTAACGGTCCTGTTGCGTTGAAGGGAGTTTTAAGCAGCACCTAGTAGGTAAATATAAGCACTTTATGTTACTAAATTTATCAATTCGAATACTATGTACCAAGCAGCTTCATCTTAATTACATAGATACTGCAAAAAGTTCAATGTTGAATTTTGTGTCAAGTTTTGTTAACATTTATGGACGTCAATTCGTCAATATTTGACACATAATGTCCACAATTTTATTCATTTTTCAGAAGACGTTCAGAATCATGGTCCACTGGACGAATTCAGCGCATTTAGATTCGAAAATAAATTATACAAAATTAAAAAAATGTTGCGGTGTTCTCCTAGATCTCTAAAACAATTAATAAATAGTACCATAGAAATAGCAGGTAGTAAAACAAAAAACAAATTCATAAATTATCCGTATCGAAAATAATTTTATATATTATATCAAACTGTTTTGTTTGCTCAGAATTTACATTCAGTATTTTTGATAGAAATAATTGTTGTTTAATGAATGATGGTCACGTTGTAGTAATAAATGCAATAAAGTAAACCAACAAAGTTGAACTGCAACGTCAGATATACAGGGTGGGCCATTAGTGTGAGAAAGTAAAATAACTCCCTTGTTACTCATAATACAGAAAAAAGTTTATATAACAATTATACAGAATCAAGAAACCTAAACTATAAAATTAATTTGATACATGCAGGGTGATGAGTAAAAACGGGACACGCTAAATATTACATTTTTTAAATGGAACACCCTGTATATTTTTAAATATATGGATTTCCGAGAAAATTCTATATATATGGCAATATAAACAGTTTATCATTTTGGTGCGGGATTGCCAAATTATGTGGAAAATTCTTCGAATTTTGGAAAAAACATGACCTCGAGGAAGTTGTATTAACTTTCAACTACTAACACTTGGAGCAAAAATATTTGATACATGTACAGGCAAATGTTAGGCAAATACTAGCTAATATCGATCTTTTATACAGGGCATTTTTTATAATACGATCATTTTTAGAAAGTTTATATTTGATTTTCTAAAATTTTTCAAACGGAACACCCTGTATTTTATTATTCTATTTTATTCACATATCGGTCCACTTCAACTTTTATTAATCATGTTCTATATCTAAAATTGTTAGTTTTTAAGATATAGCAACATTTCTGAAAAAACTTAATTTTTATTATTTTATAGAATACCACAAATAAATATTAACTAATAAAATTAACTCAAAATGGAATGATAATTTATGAACTGACAAGTTGACACAATGTGACAGTTTTTTCCAAAAGCCATTTCGTGCGACCGAAAATAAAAATTAGGTTTTTTCAGAAATGTTGCTATATCTTAAAAACTAACAACTTTAGGTATAGAACATACTTAATAAAAGTTGAAGTGGACTGATATGTGAATAAAATAGAACAATAAAACACAGGATGTTCCATTTGAAAAATTTTAGAAAATCAAGTTTGAACTTTCTTAAAATGATCGTATTAGAAAAAATGCCCTGTATAAAATATCGATATTAGCTAATATAGGAGTCTTTGCCTAACATTTGCCTATAACTCTGTCAAATATTTTTGCTCCAAGTGTTAGTAGTTGTCTTCTTCGAGGTCATGTTTTTTCCAAAATTCGAAGAATTTTCTACATAACTTGGCAACCCCACACTAAAATGTAATATTTGGCGTGTCCTGTTTTTAATCATCGCCCTGTGTGTTTCAAATTAATTTTTTCCTTTTTTTTTGCTTCTGTACAACTTTTATATAAGTTTTTTTTGTGTATTATGAACAACAAGGGAGCTATTTTTCTTTCTCGCACTAATGGCCCGCCCTGTATGTAAACAAAAATTATTGAAATGTTTAGTACCTACCTAAACCAATTCAGTTTTCTAAGTTAGATGTAATTGCAGTTTTATTGTTGGCAGAAGGTACCACAAATTAATATTTAACTGATATAAAATGTACATTACATTAATTAAGTTCATTTAGGTCGGCCATTATTACACTTTTAGCCTCATAAATGAGGCCAATTTCACAAAAAATATTTCATTCAATTATCAATCACCTATCCCTCAACACTGCACTTTCTTTTTTGCCTTCAAGTGTTTCAACAGACAAATGAAGAAAACAAAAAACAATGTAATAATGTATAATTTATTTTCCTTTCGTGGATAGGAGCATCCTACATAATTATAGCTTATTTCCAAACCAAAATGTGTTTTGCCATCACGCATGTAGTAAATACACTTAAAAACATTTTGTTTTACTTTGATTCCACTTATTTATAAGTATATGACTTTTCATCGCTGAAAAGAAGTTCAGCAACACCGCACGAGCATAAACTAATAATAAAAACAGAATACTTAGATAGAAAATATTGTTAGCACAAAAATATACATACATGTTTATACAGTGTGTCCCTGGACAGATGAAACGACTCTTAAAGGCTAAAAATTATCGATTATATTTTCATTTTTTGGCCCTACTTGGTTAAAGACTAATTTCGAACAATTTCGCTTTCGAAAAATCAAGTAGGTATGTGTTATTGGCATATTGAAAGACGACTGTTTATTGAGAATTAAAAAAAAAAACGCCACCATTTCTCAAAACTTTCGGACGTGGTTGGAGTTCGTGATTCGCCACTCCGAATGTGAGTGCTAGATTTGAATTGGATGGAAATAAGGTTTCCGTCGTATTCCGGTCGTCCTCATAATGAACACCGTCATTACTGAGGCTATCTATGGTTGGACGAGGCGGCAAAGTGTCTGTGGTTAGATCCGCTAAGCACTCGGATCGTCTACCATCTAGCATACGAGCCCCACGTTGGGCGCCATGTTGTGGAATCTGATTGATCGTAGGGTTTTATGACGTTGACGCCCCTTGCTGGCTGCGCCATTTCGACTCTATCGGGCAGCGGCGATGGCCTATTAGAATCATCCTTAAGTATTTGGATAGGGTGTGAGGCCCTTTGTATCGGGTTGGATCGAGCGGTTAAGTCTGAAAACCCTGACTGCCTCCAACGCGCGTCAGGTGTCCTAGCCGTAGACGATGCAGACACGCATGCGACACAGCAGGAGGGATGAAGACAACATATTCATCCATCTTTCTAAAATTTTCCGCCGAAACCGCCAGAATGAAAGAATTGTCGCCAAAAGACACCCGTTCCCTCGTACGATAACAACGACGTATATCTGATCTCTTTTCTAGGCTGCCAACAGCGCAAGGGGTGCCAGAATTTTTACGTATTTTTTTAATGAAAATTAAATATTTTGCTATAATATTCTAATAATATTGTGGTAACATGTAAAATATTGCAAAACTTAATTTTTCATTCATAAAAAAACATTTTTAAAATATTGCTTTATAGACCAAAAAATTAATGCATCGAAAATTGTTTTTTTTTTCAGACAATATGGAACAGGCCTTTTTTAAATGCCTGACAAGTCGAGTTTGCAAAATATTCAGTGGCATCGAAATTCTAACGTTCTTAATGGCGGTTAATATAATTGTATACAAATTCAGTGCATTTTTTATCTTTATAATTTTATTGATTATTATTGTTACATAAAAAAGGTAAAACTTCTTCAAAACTAGCGAAACCTAAGAGGAGCGCTATGATATAACATATAATATCTTAGAAATAAACCGGGGAGTATAAAATACAACTCACATAAACAACATTCAAAATTATTATTAATTTTTTAAGTTTGCTTGTTTAAATAATCCAATAATACGGCGCCATCTCTTGGTTGTCTATTTTCGCGAATTAATCCGCTAACAGAATCCTGCTAATTTTATCTCTTCCAAACACTGAACAAATATACAACACGGAATTCAATCGATACCGGACAACCCATATGACTAATAAAGTTACTCATATGGGACAACCAAGGCTTCAAAGAAATACTAATTTGCGATTGGAGTATGGATTTGCAACTAAGCAATCATTGGTTAGAGTGCGTTCATCTGTGTTCAGTTAAATAATTATTATGTAATTAAATATACATTGTTTATGGTCTTTATTTAATAGTTACTTATATGATAAAGCTTTATTTAACTTGTATTTTTCAAGTATTAAATTAAATCAACAAGATTACATGATATGCAAATGAGGCATTAATATAAATATTGATATTTATAAACTAATATGTTGTTTTATACATATATGATAATATGTAATGGTATAAACCCAGATTAAATTGAATAAGAATATTTGATTTACTTTTGCATTAATTTAATCCAAAAAATGCCACGCCCAAATTAATCTTGCAAATCCCGTTAGATGTCGCAATCTCAAAAAAAAAATTAATATTTCCATATTTATTTCAATTTGCAAATGATTAATTTATATAGATAATATTAGTCGTAGGATTCCATTTGGCTCAAAAACATCTGAATTGGAGCATTTCAAAATTGGATTAAAATGTGTTGTCAATGCCGTCAAATTTATATTTTTCCTTTTTCTTATATTCGTGAACTAGGTACTTTTGCAATTTCCAATTCGATGTAGCGCCATCTGTGATATAGTAGTTCAGCTAGAAGATTTAATTTAAAGACTGCCATGCACTATAATTCGAATTATTTTGTTTTTTTTTTATCTTTATTTATTAACATTAAAGGATTGTACATCTACAATAAATAAAGACCTACTCTCTAAATTTGAAATATTGTCAAAATTTTGTGAAATTATTTATAGTACCAATAATTTAAATCTAATTAAGTATTGTAAAAGTTATTGTGGGTGGATACCTTAAAGTTGGACATCGTGAACGTCCAGAACTTCTAGAATATTTCAAAGTTGTGGAGTGCTGTTGTCGCTGAAGTTTGCCGCAAATTTTTTTGGCATCCCCCCCCGTTTCTTCAAAGATCTTCTTTTGCCTTGCGTCATCTTCATTTTTTTGTGGGTGTGTGACTTGTCGGTGTATTAAAGGCGATTCTTCAGGTAAATTGTATCGATTCTTTCTCTTTTTTTAATTTTAACACTCGTATTGTAACGATAAACATGAAAATCCGAAAGTATGTATAAAAAACTTACTTGGTAAGGTTATGGCTTTTCATTCTTATACAAAATTTTAAATTAATACTAAAGTAAAACAAGCTTGTTAAAAAAGATATAATAAAACTCTTCTGGGTGATATTTGTATATTTTTATGTAAACAAGTAGGTTTTCCCGGAATAGGTACATTGCAAAACACAGTTTCCCTGTTCTTACGATGCATTCATAATTTATAAAGGAATGCAATAAAATCTGGCCAAAACAACAATCACATGCATCGATTTAAAAAAGTAACTTTGAAATTTCTTTGGGGGCTGAAAGTTTGACAACCTTGAAAATAGGTACGCTTACTTCATTTAGCCAATTTGCTGTTCCGAATAATTTTTTTTACTTATATCATAATTTTGATTATTGAATATTGAATTTCCGAGCAAGTTACGAAAGCTGTGTGTAATGCGAAGACTCATTTTTTATTTCTATTCATACGTTATCAAGGAGACGAAACAGAGCTAAAGCTAGGAAAGCGGCATTCGGAACTGGGTTGTGTTAAAAAAATGGCTAAGAAATGTTCATAGATATTTTAATGCTTGAAGTGTTTTAATATAGTGAAACATGATTTTTTAGAGTTTCATGTTCCATTAAGACTTCAAGCACTTTCAAAAAGTCTTTTGTACTAGATATGTAATTCCAAAATTTCAAAAAATTATAAAATGATTTTTGGTTTTCAAAATTATAGGTAAAAAGTAATAAAACTACAAATTTTGCAAATGTGTGAAGTTAATTACATCCAATTCCTCAAATTGCTCTTTGTGTCTCACTTGAGAATGGAACAGCATAATAATTTTTTTGTTTTATTATTTGATTTAAACCACTTACCTCAAAAGATAGAGAGGCCACCAAGCTCTATTTAAGACCACAAAAATCACTTTTTTATATGTAGGCCATCTACGATCCTAAATTGTATGAAAACAAAAAAAATTGTCCGAATATAAAGTTTGGCTAAATTTAAAAAGAATTAAAAAGTTAGACATTTTAATAAAAATTGCCTTTCCTAATTTTCAACTTTTGAAACATTTTATAAAAATAATACAACTTGACTTAAAATTGCAACATAACATTCGTAAAAAATATTACTGCCTTTTGTTGCCCTTAGAACTCACCTTTTTAACTACACTTAAAACTGTTGTGTTTTATATCTCCGATATTAAATTTAAATCCACAATTAAATTTGTTGATACTATGTATCAATTTTTAAAAATTATTATAGCCCTTTGTTTCCATTAAAACTCATCCCGTCAACTATTCTTCAACTGGTTCTGTATTATATCACAATAATAAGCTTAATGTTTAAATAGATTTGAACCAAAATGTTACTAGGACTGTGAATTAATTTAGAGGGATTTACGATGGCATAACACATGCTATATCGCATCGGACACTTCTGTAACTATATTCAAGCCTCTGTCTCTGTCCTTAGGATTTACTTTCTATTATGTGTCGTTTTACTGAACTGAAATGTAGAGATAATTGCCTAATTTTATTAGATTATAGCCGAGCATTCGATACTCTAGAGCAGGGGTCGGCAAGTAACTTTAGGTGAGGTCCGGATACTTTTGAAAATTTTTAACGAGGTCCAGAAAAAATTCATATTACCAATTTTTTATTTTATTTTGCACTCAAATTTAATCTGCTTACTAACCATTAAGAACACAATTGTAAAATACTAGAAAAAGTTATTACGGTGGCACTCAAACGTAAAAAAATATATTTTTAATAATTTATACTGTCAAAAAATTTTTGGCGGTCCAGTATTTTATCTTCCGCGGTCCAGACCTAGACCGTGGCATTTTTCCATATATGTATACCTAGTTCAGATTTGTCTAGTCACCTGAAATTTTGTCGATCACACCAGTATGCTGATGACACTCAAATTTTAGTATTCTCCTAGTTATCTAGTTCCTCACAGGGAATAGCAATTGACAGACATTTTCTACAACAAATTTTAAATCGGTATGTTAAGCCATTCTGGAAATATTAAGAAAATACAATGTTTTTATGAACTTTGACACCCTGTATCTCTGTAAGGAGGTATTTTGGAACAAAGATTTATTTGACCCAAATATTTTGTTTGGTTCGGTAAAATTTTTTACACTGTATATTCATAGGAACTTTTTTCCCTAAAATAACCTAAAGAGTAATTCTTTTATTATCTGAACATACAGAATCCTCCTGTACTTGCATGTATTGAGATAAAAAATGGAAATTTATCTGCAGGTAATTAAAAATTGAATATTGATGGGAAATATTTTCTTAATTGCGTCATTATTTATTTTGCGGATGCATTCAATTTTATCATACCTATCTATCTATCTATCAGTTAATATTAGTACAAATAAGATTGAAGGTTGGATAATTTAACAGTTCCTATCGTGATATCCTGACCTATGACGTATCAAGTCTGATAAGGCAACGGCAGACTGTTATCATGTCATGTTTTCATGTCTCCCAGATATTTGTGTATAAAATGGATTTATTTGATAATAATTTGTAAACAGAAGAACTTATAACATATTACCCCTTAGTAGAGGATACGTTTATCAGTTACCGTTTTAATTATCTTTGACTTCTGTGCATTGTTATCTAAAAATACACTTGTCGCCATTTTATGAAACAAAACTGAGCTCCAGTTATCTGTGGGTACCTATTTCTAGAAATTTCAATAATATTTCATGATAATTTCTTTAAACATCTAAAATAAATCAATCTTAGACAAATTTTGTTTATGTTTGGTTAAAAGCCAACGTTTGATCTTTACTAATAGATATTTTAAATACAACTTCATATTTGAACCTGGAAACCATAACCAAAGCCATCAAAGAAATCTCTTACATGTTAGAGGATTTTGTTGAAACTGACGCTTTTGTTTTGCATTAAAAAATGAGAGGAAGGAAGAACAAATAAATACTCTATTTTAAATTTCGTTTTTTCTTTATTTTCAGGCGATTTTAGTAAGCAGATATCATTTATATACATCACAGCAGATTTTTCAGTATACTGCTCAGGTGTAGCTTTAATAGGTAAGAAATTCAAATGTTCACTCAAGTTACTATATACAACATGATTTCCTTTTCTTGATGGTTAAATTGCTTTTTTTGATATTGTATTCAGATAAAAAATAATAATAAATTTACACTTGTTAATTATATAATACTAACTGTGTGTAAAATATGTTTTAAAATACAATGAAACTGAAAAAACATTACTTAAAACTGCTTTATTACTAACAGGCCATCACACCATCATTGTGACCCATCAGATGTACTGATGGGTCACAAATATTTTTATTGTAATCTAAAGTCAATTTTACATTATTTTGATTAAATCTTCTTGACGTAACTCGTCAAGGGACAGGAGTTTAGGGCTATTTGAAAAAAGTGCCTTTTCAGTTTGACAAACAAAATCTGCAAATTTGGAAGGGAATGTTTCATTTAATCACAATTTTATTATCTAAAATAATTTTGGTTTGTACAGTATAGACTCTTTAATCCGAACTCACCTTAATCCGAATATCCACTAATCCAACCCGACGAATGCCCATTTCGATGGTCCGAACAAATCTCTTTAATTCGAACAAAATTCGGTTTAACGTATATAGTTCGGATTATAAAGTCAGACTACATAATAAAAAGTAACAGTTAAAACCGTAATTCCCCGGGGAAACCCTTTTATGAGAGTCGGAACCTTTCTCGATTAGATCATTTTAGTTGAAATATTATTGCTGTGCAAACATGTTGCAAAAAAGAAAGCATCACAAATAAGTTGGTTTTTTAAAGTCTTCTTTTTTATTTTTAATAAATGCATATCCATATTTTACGATAATATTTGCTTTTATTGTTATTTTTTGCCTTCTCAGTAACCCATAAAATCTAATTCATATTATATGTATGTACATAAACATATTTACATATGTACATATTTGAGGAGTTGATTTTTAAAACGCAGTTTTTGAAACAACACATTTTGAGATAATTACATAATAATATGTGAAAAATTGTTGGCGCTATAAAGATAATAATAATTAAGTGTATTAATCACCTGACATTAGAAAATATTTTTTGTGGTATTTTGTTTAAAACTTTTTTTGAATAAGAAAAAAATGCGTTTTGAAAATCACCTCCTCATTTGCTATCTAGTAATCCGAAAATATCGGTAATTCGAACTTATCTCTTTAAGCCCGTGTCTTAATTAGTTGGGATTAAAGAGTCTATACTGTATTATCTCTACCGCTATGTACCAGTTTTTAAAAGACTACAAAATTTTTATGCATTTTGTTTTAAATTTTATAGGGATGTTGAATAAGTTCTCATTGTTTTTTCGTGATCTTTCTAACGGCATTTTAATTCCACGTCGGAAGATCGACACGTCTTTTGAGGCTATCCAAGAGTCAACCTATTTTTTGACATCTTCATAAGAATAGCAGTGCTGCTCGACCAGGCCATGGGCCATGGATCGGAACAAGTGAAGGGGCACTGTCTGGTGAATATTTCTTCACTGCTTACACCCAGCTGATCCCATCAAATGCAGAGCACAAACTTGGAGCCATGGATATTTGGCTTTGCCGACGCTTTGCTATTGAAGCAGCTGTTCACATGTGCAAGGATGCCATTTGTCGTCTCTCAGCTTCAACTCGTACGTCACCTGATATTTTCGCTTTTAAATCATTCTTAATGGCTTGAAACATTTTCTAACTAATGTGTGAGCAACTCGACATTTTTTGGAATAACTGAAATAACGTACATTGAATTTCAAGCCTATTTGTAGTACTTCTTTATAGGTGCAATACCTTCCATCTTAAACTGTAACCATGCAATTCTAGCCATCTGTTGAAAAACAGCGAGAACTTATTCAATGTCCCCATGTATTTTTTGTTACTTAGTTGAACTGGAAATATTAAATAGGGGCATCAAACGTCGAAGTACAGTCTATTAAGCTTTGATGTGAAATATTTATATATAGGTATATAACTAACACGTTGAACTAAGCACATTAAACATAGTTCAAGAAGAAAGACTTGTATTCAATTTCTGAATAAATCTTAAACCAGTTCGCAGCTAAATAGGGACAGTTCATCAGTTTACATGTCTATAACTAAAAGACTGTGCTCTAATTATAAGCAAAATTGTGGAATATACAGGTTGTAACAAAAAAGTAAATACTGAGAAATACTGTGGGTAGGAAATTAACAATGATGAAAATATCTTACAAAAACCATGTTTGTTGGGCATCAGGATAATTTGTTACTGAAATTTTTTAAACCTTATATTTATTAGGCAAACCATAATTCATTTCTAATTCCTATCACCTACATTTTTTTGGTATTTAATTTATTGGGGCAAACTATGTGTTTCACAATTTTCTTTATACCACTGGTACTAAAATTGTGGCAAAAAAATTATAAATAATGTATATAAGCAGAATAAAAGCATGGGAGAACTTTTTGCATAAGTTTATTTGGACATCTAAGGAAATTACATTTACTCTATGAAGAATCAAATCATTAATGTGCAGAGAATACAAAATGTGATGAACGGTAGGAGGAGCCAGGATCCAAGATCCCGACGAAGCATGTAAATCACATGCAATATTCGAACCGACAGGCCTCTCGGCCAGGTATGCAGCAAGGAGTGCATGACCCACTGGGATAATTAACATTGGACCTTGAACCCTTTTAATCTTACAGTAGGTACATAGAGAGGAACCTAACCTATCCCATTTTAACAACATAAATAATATTGGGACCCACTAAAACCTATCAAAATACATCAACGACATTTTTTAACCCACTTCAATAATATCGGGATATTTAACCCACCTCGACAATATGAGAATATTTAACCTACTTCAACAGTGTCGGCATATTTAACAATAATACTGGGACATTTAACCCACTTCAACAACATCGGCATGTTTAACCCACTTCAACAATGTTGGGACATTAACCCAGTCAAATACATAAATAATATCGGGATATTTAACCCACTCCAAAAACAAATAATATCTGGACATTTAACCCACTCAAATATTATATTATAAACGAATACATATTTCTCTTGTGAAAATATGTTAATCGTGTTTTAAGAGCTCCTTAAAAAAATGAGTTCAAAAAAAATTTTTTAGGTCGCTCAAGATTTTTAAAAATTTCCAAAATCGTCAAAAATTGATTTTTTTTTTTAATTTTCTCGTTATTTTATCATTTTCTAGGTTGAAAAAATCTCGATTCTGAAAATTTCAAATCGATATTTTAATTTCTAAAGGCCACTCATAATTATTTTAACTTTCAAAGTAGTGTACCTACGTTTTCGAGCGACCTCTAAAATTAAATATCAATGAACGAATGAATCAAGACACTTAAAAAATTTCTCGAGGCAAAATGTACTAAGGAACCGAGTATCAAATAGGGGTGCTAATTTTTTTAATTCAAAGACGCCAGAAAAAAAGACTACCAAAAAAAACAATCAAACAAGTGGTAAACGGGAATCAAAATTCCTTTCAAGAAAAAAAAAAGCATATTATTTTGGCCAATTCGAGATTCAAATATTTTCTCAGGGGGAACTCAAATCAAAAAAATGTTAATACTCCAAGTTGACACCCAAACGGAATAACTAAACTAGCTCTGAAGAAAACTCCACTATCAGTCAACGTGATCAACTGCCACTGCCACACTCCGAACTGTCCATGGACTCACTCATACAGTCGCCTTACGCAACTCCTCATCGGCCAACCTCTGTTACATTTATTAATAATATTTGTAAGATAACATGTTTGCTAGATTTTTCTTTTCAATTGTTTTTTTCCTAACCAACTGTTGTTCATCAAATAAACTATCCCCGGAATTAAAAATGCCAGCTATAAATAATAAATATAATGTTCTAGATATTCCTCGGTTGTCAAAATGTATCACAAATGTCAAAATATATTACATAACAAAAATTGGTAAATTAAAATTCAAAAACTCTGTTGAAAAATCACAATATAGATCAGCTTCCAAAATAATATTAAGGTAACCAAATGTCCCAGTTTAGACGGGATATGTTAGAAAATCTGTTCCGTGTAAAAGATCTGCTTTCTCAATTTTTAAATGACCCGAAAATATTTATACATATATCTTTTTGTTTCAGTTGTTCAAAAAAGACACTTTCTGGCAGACGTTTCCGGTGCAGATTTTGAGACGCATTTCAAGAGGACGTTATAATAATTGGTATGCGAAAAAACGCTAAATATCTGAGAAATATTATAAAATACCTCCATTATATATATATTCATTAGTTCTTCGGCTTCCGCAGGTGTTGTATGTGATTGTAGAATTTCTCTGGGTTCCTTTCCACGTTGAATCTTTGAATCTGTATGGTCTTCAAAAGAACCATTTGTTTGACAACGTTTCGGTAAAATCTCTTTTACCATCTTCAGGTCTTCTTACTTCTGCTTTGCTTTACTAAGGCGAACGTAGTAACGCGAAGCAGAAGTAAGACCTGAAGATGGTAAAAGAGATTTTACCGAAACGTCAAACAAATGGTTCTTTTGAAGAAGATACACGGCCGGCAACGGTACATGGCCCATCTGCCTTTACATGCGAGCGACAAAGTAAAGTAAAGTAATCCGTGCGATAGACAAAGATGGCTACAGTGAGACTTCTAACTGAGCACATCCCGAAACGGGCGGGGACTATTCAGATTATGAAACGTCTTCAATATAACCATTTTTGTCTATCGTACGGATTTCTAAGACTTACTTTGTCACTCTCACCTAAAGGCAGATGAACTATGTGGATTTTCCAGCCGGGTATATGCATCAGAGCGTAATCATCAAGATTATTTATCTTACTCTCAAACAACACTTTTTGTGGTAACGCTAAAAAAGTAATCTCCATTCCCTTGTGAATTTAAACATCGACTTGTAGAAGCGATGAAATAAATTCAAAATTCACTTAAACGCAAAGGGATCTTTTCACATGATTGTGTTTTGTTGCGTACAATTCACAGAATGTGATTAGAGACACTATGACACAAAAAAACGGATATTTCCGATAGTTTTTGGAAATATTCGCTGTAGTTTTCACTACATTATATTGTGAAACTCCATGAGGATGCCTCTAATGGAAGTCTTTATGATGAAAATCATGTTCACAACTTTTTTTGCCATCAAAAAAAGAAAAAGACATTGGATTCTGTGATCGAAAATTTAAGACATTTCTGCAGATTTCAATAAATTTCAAGTCGACGCAAGGTTGCAAGAAGAATATTGTTGGTTACATTATTGAGAATATTGTTATTCTGATGACAAAACAGTCTTCACATTTGCTTTGTTTTTTTTTTTTCGCTTAATAATTTTTGCTTGTGGATATATTTCATTATTACAAGAGGTGTTTTATTAAAAATGGGACATGGTTTAATGAGGAATTTCTTAAATCAAATAGCTATTGAGCCAAACATACTGGTTTAAGTATGCTGTGATTAAGCATTGCTTTTTCGATCTACTGTCAAAGTTAAAAAAAACGTTTGGAATTATTTCAGAAAACATTGCCTAAATCAAATTGAAAATTTCACTAGCCCTGTTTTTTAGTATGGGAATTTCAAAAATAATATTAATTTTGGCATCAGAATAGGGGATGCCTGTTACACATTATTAGAGATGCAAACGAACTAAACTTTTTGTTTTTCGTGTATCGACAATTTATACAAAGAATTATGACGACGTGCTTAATTATAAATAAAAATGGTATTCACGCAAACAACGAACAACGTCAACGCGTGTGACATTTATTATGTTAATTTAAAATCACTGGAATAGGGAAGCTTTTAGTTTATATTTGAAGCCAACTCACATTTGAATACCCTTTATAACAGAAAAAATATATATCCAACTTTTATAAAAATTATCCATTACAATTGTTTTTCTATCTAAAAATGTATTTGCGCTTTTTACTAAGTTTCTTTTAAAGAACATATATTTTAGTAACATTTTTTTACTTTATTTTATAGGTATTATTAAATTCAAAAACTGTTTTAAAAATCTGATCAATGAAGTATGAGTATTATTGTGACTTGTTTTCTCTGTTAATCAAACAATCAAACAAAAATATTGTCTCACAATATCTTGTTTTAGTCATACCAGTTCCAAGTCAAAAGTCTAACCGCTATGGAAACAAAACCTATTTTTTATCTCGGTGTAAGTTAAATTGTAATCTTAACCTATCACATATGAATTGAAATATGATGCGAACTGTTTCAGAAATAAAAGAAATTATAAATATTATTATCGTACCAAATGATAACATTCTAAAAAGATTTATTTTTAGTATTGAAATACTGTTGATCGTTATCTGCACGATTTTTAGTAACTGAAACTGATTTTTTTCTTTGTATCCTATTTCAGTTGGTTTTATTATTCAATGCGTATTAGGATGAAAAAAAATAATTTGCAGAAGATAACCACTGTTTAAATAGTATATGTCTGAGATGCATATTGTTTAAAGTATGTGAAGACCATATTAATTGTTTGCCAAAATATTTTAGAGTACGATGGAAAACTCTTTTCTCTTGTTTACAAACTTTATTTAAAATTAAGTTCATTGTTTTTTCCAAATTGTAAACACATGGGATTAAAACATTTAGATCTCATTTACTTCACCGATCGGGTATAATTAACACCTCTCTACAAAATGAAAACTAGTACAATAATTCTCTGATTTTGTTTCTTAGTTTGGTACCCAACAGATCTGAAAGGTGCAGCATTTTATTGAGGTATGTTTGGTTCAATCATGATCTTTTACCTTGAAAATCTCCCGTTAAGCTAAGTTCTGTTCTTAACTAAACAACCCATAGTTTTTCGATGTTAAGAATTTCTTTAAATGGTAGATAGTCGTTTCAAAGTGAATAATCTTTACGTTCGGTTAAAGATAAAAACTAAAATGGACTTTGTGCTGAAGCTGCTCCTTGAAAAAATATAACAAAAATGAAAAATATACATAGCAGAGAATGCAGAATTCAAATTCCTAGATTTATGAATTAGTTGAGAGTATACCAAGCTCATCAATAATACTCCACAAAAAAAGCCAACCATATAAAGTGTCGACACCATGGGGACCAAGAAATGTAACCACCAAGGCCCGTCAAACTTCAAGTACATCCAACGTTCTGAAAGGCACAAACTTGATAGCTAAAATGTGGAGATGTTCCTTCAAAGCCCCCTGTAAGATGCCAAAAGGCAAATCCTCAAATAATGTGTCTCACAGAAACATTGTGTGTATATTACCTTTTAGCCCTGTTGGTAAACTATATGGTCTTACTCCAATACTGCACTGCTCTGCTCAGACTTATCGAAAACCGGCATTGTGCTCAAAGTGTATATTGCCTGCTAGCTCTGCCGGTAAACGATATGGTCTCACTCCGATACTGTACTGCTCTGTCCAAAGACTTATCGATAACCGGCGTTGCGCTTGAAGTGGTCGGAAAGCGTGTGGATTTTCTTGGTCCCAAACATGATTATTTTAAGTAGTAAAACTTCTTTGGAAACCTTCAGCTCGATACTGGAAAATTGCATACATACTACCATACAAAAGCACTTACAGTTTATTATACGAGACTGTATATCATTATTATGTCAACGGTATTCTTGAGGGAGTAAAAGTTGCCATCGTTACAATTTAACAGCACTACCTTAATAGAAATGTCGAGATCACATACCTGTACTGTGACTACGGTTTTCTCAATCTGTCATCTGACTGCTGTCGAATATTACTTTACAGGATTATTCAGACATTTTACATGTAGCATTTTATAAGGCACTTTTAAAATATCGACAGGTTCTAATAAGTCATCCTGTATAACCTATGGTCTAGGAAAAACGTGATGCTTTGAATTATTTAAAGATATTCTAGGAACCAAAACTGGAGGGAGAAATAAGGTAAAGAACTTTTCTTAGACTGGGACAATTAAAAGTAAACAAATCCTTTGGATGAAAATTAGAATATACAAAATACTTTTAAGAATTTGCAAAAGTTTCAACATACATCAGAAAAGATATTGACGAATATTTATAAACTGGAAATCGATCTAAATAAATTAGATTATAGATAATTGGAGGATGAGGTTTTTTTTCAATATAATTCTTAAACAGGAATCTATAAAACTGGGAAATTTGGGAGGATTTAGATGATCCAAAATAGCCAGGGAAAACGTAAGAAAATTTTAAAATGACTAAGGGAAAAGTTTGGCTCTAAAATAGAGAGATAGTAAAGGTGCAGTAGCAAAGGATTTTCTCATTTTTTTTGCATCATTTTGGTATCTGTAGGCATCCTGTTGAAATACAAAGTGGTCAAGCTCAGAAAAAATGTGTTTACTTTGTAGGGTATTTTACCTCAAAGTTGGCAACATCCCTCTGTCTAGATGGCTACAGTGCCCCATAGATTTTGAAGAATTATTTTATAAGATTTTGCTTGTTTCAAAACTTTCAATAATGTTATCTTTACCCATGAAGGAAAACTCCTTTTCATTAAATCTTCAAATAGGGTCCATCTACAATTCGATAATTTTGTGAACCAGTTTCTTTACTGGGTTTCATCTGTTCGTAAATTTTGTAGGGTATAATTTTCCATTAATTAATTCTGTTTCAAATAAAAATGATATTCCTTCAACAACAAAAACAATTAACGTAAAGCGTTCATGATATCGAACAACCTACATTACTTGACACTCTGGCCCGTTTCCAGATGACATCTACATGAATAATAATTATTACTTCAAACAATTTGAATTCCATAGATGTTATTAGAGAATGCCAATTAATCAATTTTGATTAAAAGTGACAATTTTAGGCAGTAATACATAAAATGAAATATTTTATCACTACCACATTATTATAATTTATACATATATTTTCCAGTAGTAGAAAACAAATATAGTTTGCAACTTATGTGTAAAGTTCATATTTTCACTTATGTGAGTGAAGTGTTTCTTTGCACTTGGTTTCAAACGTTGACTAAAACGTGAAAGTCAGTGTCAAACTGCATAGAAAAACCTGTACTACAACAATTAAATCAGATATCTATCTCTGTCTGTAAACAGGAAATAAGTTAATATGGTTTTTTATGTATATGATTCTGAACTACTCTACACATTTGTTGCGTAACTATTTTCCTAACATTTATAGGTTTGAAAATTAAGTCAAATAGAATTTACCCTTAAACTTAGTCCAAATCTACATACTATAACTTCTGCCCACAAGCATACAACATGTCCTACCTTTTTGTGAAAAAAACATTTACAGAAATGCATTTGTATAAAACAAGATTTTAAACGCAAACATGTGCCAATATCATTTTGACTCAAAGACTTCTGGTTTTGCTATTATTCTCGGGTCTTCGAGATTTAAGTAAATTTATTTTCACTGAAAACTATATTATACTCATGAACAAAAAGTTTCTGTAATTTGAAAGCATTATAACATATTTATTCATTATTTAAAAGCTCCCGAACAAATATAAGTGTACAAATTTAGAAAATGGGAAAAACACTTTCCTAATGAAATAATTTTTTGGCTGTTTTGTCGTATAATTATTGTAATTTATCCGAGAGAATTTTGGGTTTTTTATTACTATTGTTATTGTTGATTTAACCTTGAAACATAAAAGATTATATCCAACGTCATCAGCATATTGTTTTCATGCACGTGAGCATTGTTTGTAGACCTGGACTAGGCATTAAATATAAAAATCATCTTTTAGAAAGCAAAAATTGGCAACATTTCAAGATTTCTATGATTTAAACAATAATTTTCATATATTTTAGGAGCTTTACGAATTATTGTTGCCTAGTGAATTTTACCCGGTGAGTTGTTTTTTTGCACTGTTAAACTTAACGCTGACTATCTCGCACTGCTTTGTAATGAGCCAATTAAAAATCAATTTCTTACTGTGTCACTTTTTCTTAAATCAGATATTTGCTTATTCCATTAAAAACATCTTATAGGATTCAATTTCTAAAATTGTAGTAATAACTTGCATGTTGGGTGTTGCGTAGCTAAAATTCTGTAACCTGTTAATGTACATAACACAAAATACTCCTATATTGTGTCAATCCCTGCTTTCAAAGATTATGATGAAGAAGTATATCGCACTGTACTCTTTGTGCATGGTTTTTGCTCTATTATTTCCTTACGCATTCTTAAGTCCTTGCTCGTTACATAACTGATAAAAACAGATATGTTCTATGCCGTAATCTTTATTGAAATTTCCTGGCAGGCAATATAGGAGTATTAAATACATGTGTGTGTTAGAAGTTTAAACCGAAGCTACAATACAAATGGGAAGAACATACCTTTAGAACAACTTATTCCACTGGGAACTATCGCAATCAATAGAGGAAAAAGTATTTGTAGAAAAAGTTTGAAAATTATTTGGTTTGAACTTATTACAGTATTAAACTTAATTCAAATAAATTTGTACAGTTCAATTAAAGCCATTATATTCCTTAATAGCAAACAAAGACATAATGCTATACAAGTCAGCCAATGGTTTCTAAAAGAAAAATGTACTGTTCCAATAGTACCCATGGAAAAAACGTACTGGAATAATTGCATAATAAAAAATTTATTTAAGAAAGACTATTTTTTCAAAACTTAAAAGTATTCCGGCGTTTCTAACAGCACATATTTCTTAACCTCACATTCTTTGACCACAAACTAAATTACTAAGTAAGAATTTCACCCTATAATGTCACAGAATATTAAACAATTAATCTTCTGTGCTAACGTTTTCTGTTCTCTTAGCCTAGATCCACATGAATGCGTAATTACGGATGGGCATGTGATTACAACGATCCGTGATCAACTGATCACGCATGCATGTGGACCCAGGCTTAAGAATTTCTTAAATTTGAGCGAAAATTCAAATCAATGGTTATGATATACCTACCGCCACCCTTCCAAATCGTCACAAAATTTTTTCTGCCCTCTATTTCGAAGGTGCTGAATACGAACCTAAAGTTATTTTTGTGCGGTCAAACGTAGTTTTCGTGAAAAATTTTTTTTTAATTCTAACCTGGACATTTCACAGAACACCATGCTCGACACTGTACAGTATGTAGTATGTAGCTTTCAGAACATCTGCAATGAACAATAAACATTGTTTAAGAAACACATTTTCGCAAATTTCAAGTAAAAAAAATGTGGTTAATAAATAAGAATTATTACTTGCTGCAATAAAGATAACACAGATGAAGAGAGTGGGAATACTTCAATGACATTACGAATTACAAATGGCAGATTGAAGCAAAAAATATATTTTTTCTACAAACGTCAAAAAATGACAAGGTTTGCGCATTGACAACAATATGCGAAGTGACACTTTTTTTCGAATTCTTACGTTACCATGACACTGTGCGCGAAATACTTCGCGCACTAGGGTGCGAAGTAAATTTTTTAATATCTACGTTTTCCTTAGCATTAAGTGTTGATTTTAGCATAGAATATACTGCCCATAATGTGGAAGGCTTCACCTTGGATCTTTCTGCAAAATATGCTAACAGCACATTTCGGATGCTTTTCTTGCTTTATTTGTTTCACACCACTCCTTAAATTGCCGATATGCATTTTCATATTGGCGCTTCGATTTTTCCGGTAAAAGATTTGAAGTTACAAAATTGGCCGCATCTGCCAAATTAGGTGGGGTACTACTTAGTTCATCGTCACTAGCAATTTCCATTATTTTAAATAATATCTGGCACTTAAAAATTGAAGACGCGAGCACAAACGTCACTAAAATAATTATTATTGTTGTCAACAACAGCCACTTTGTTTCCATAGTAACAGTGAAAATTTGATTAGGAAATACATTTTAAGCCAGCTCAACACTATTTTCTATAATAAATTAGGCATTTTACTTATTTATAATATTTTTAAGAGATATATTTTGACGTTTGTAGAAAAAATATTGTTTGCATCTCGTGCGCGAACTACTTTGGTGGTCTCGAATAATTTTTTAACTCGGCTTCGCCTCGTTAAAAAATTCAATTCTCGGTCACCAAAGTAGCATTTCGCGCACTAGATACAAAAATAACTATATTATTACCTACATATTTTGATTTGCTTGAAATTTTTAAAAATGCGTTTTTAAACAATGTATTTTCTGAAAGCTACATAAAGTATATAGTGTCGTACGTATTATAGTGTTCTGTGAAATGTCCAGGTTAAAATTTTGAAACAATTTTTTCTCGAAAACTAAAATCGACCCCACAAAAATAACTTCACCTTTGAAATAGGGGGTAAGATTTTGTGACGATTTGGGAGGGTAACAGTATAATAAATTTAATACGTCGGGAAATAATTAATTACTCTTGTAAATATTTTAAATTATATTGGTACCTACCACTGGCAAATTAGTAACCAAAATTTTAAAATTGTTTCTGCAAGTACTTCTCCCAATACCAATTAGTGTAGTTCTCAGTAGGATGCCACAATCTACTGTGTACACTTATTCATTCTTTTTATTCAGTATTTGCATTTTCTTTACATGCATTTACGCTGTGTCTAAAATGATGTAAATAAAGTAATCACAGTATTTTTACTGCCCTATATATTTTAATATGATTTGAGCGCAAAATTATTCAGTATGTTTATCATTGTTTTTCATAATTTCTTTTACAATTTAATCCACTTATAATACACATTGTTATATTATACATAAAAGGGCATAATATTCAGATAATCTAAAATATAAAGGGCATTCCGTAATTATCTGGTCCATTAGCTATAAGTTTGCAATTACGTCACATGCGAAGTAATACAGTGTTGCCAGTTTATAATTGTTTTCAGGATATTTTAAAAAATGTATTCAACTCTGAAACAAAGAATATTCTTTGTGAAAAATGTTAGGTTATATGAAATTTAAACACTGTTAATATTTAAAATACACTTGATAATTAGTGCAAACATTACAATTTACATCTGTTTTCAAAATAGTCCATATTTTTTTAACAAGACTCAATGAAGGTTTTGGCATGCTTTGCACAACACTCCATTATTAGTTCTGAAAAGAATATGTTTTCGAATCCAATATATAAAAATCATATGGAGCAACTATCGAGAGTAACAAAAGTCTGAAGTGTGTCAACTGTCAATCGATTAATTTGAATGATTTTAATTCAGTGCATTGCCAACATTGTAAAGTGTTGTGAACTTAAAACAAAAGAAGTTCATAGTTTGATGAGAGTTGGAATTTAGGATTATTCTGTTGGCTGTACTTAGTTACTAATTATGACTCATTGCAAACTTATCATAAATAGAGTATCGTTGGAATAAGCCACTGCAAGAAGAAATTGGTACATAGTCGAAAAACACTTGATTCGTGTTTTTTAANTCTTTAATGAATGTTAGGTTATATGAAATTTAAACACTGTTAATATTTAAAATACAGTTGATAATTAGTGCAAACATTACAATTTACATCTGTTTTCAAAATAGTCCATTTTTGAACAAGACTCAATCAAGAGTTTGGCATGCTTTGCACAACACTCCTTTATTAGTTCTGAAAAGAATATGTTTTCGAATCCAATATACAAAAATCATATGGAGCAACTATCGAGAGTAACAAAAGTCTGAAGTGTCTGTCAATTGTCGATCGATTAATTTGAATGATTTTAATTCAGTGCATGGCCAACATTGTAAAGTGTTGTGAACTTAAAACAAAAGAAGTTCATAGTTTCATGAGAGTTTACGTGATACAGAGCAGGAATTTAGGATTAATCTGTTGGCTGCACTTAGTTACTAAATATGACTCATTGCAAACTTATCGTAAACAGAGTATCGTTGGAATAAGCCACTGCAAGAAGAAATTGGTACATAGTCGAAAAACACTTGATTCTTACTTGTTTTTTAATATTCTAATAATACCATCATTAGAGGTAGATATTATTCACATTTTTAATACTGGATAGGGAGTTAAGAAATTGTAATGGCAGTCTTGGTAAAAATCCAAAAAGATAATTTTTGTTATTTTTCCCAATAATTTTTTACTGTGCATTTGTTAAGGTTAAACTTTCATCTCTTTTGACATGTGTATCAGCATTGTTCTCAAAAAATAAATCAGCAGGTCAAACTTGGTTATTGCGATTTTATCCTGTATTAGAAGCAAAATGATTTTAAATAGGTATTCAACAAATGTTAAGTAAGCATACTGAGTTTTGGTAATTTTCAACTCATCTTCAGATTCATAGCCAATTTTGACTAGTAAATTATTATCGATAAATAGTCTTTCAGTCATTTCGATTGTGTGAATTTATCATCTGAAATTGAGAACAATTAAGGACTTCACGGTGACGGCTATGTAGGTATACAGAAATATATACAGTACTACTACATAGTTTTCTACTGACGTTTATAAACAATTTGTAAAGGGGAGAAAAAGTTATGTAGTGGTTATGTATGTTTAGTTAAGTTATTTAAGGAACTAGTTAAGAGAACTGAAATATTGAACCTTTCAGGAATGTCAGGCATTTGTCATTTCCTTGTGATCTTGAATTTAATCCACACAGTGACTGATTTACTATTTATTATCAATCGTTTGATAATTGTGAAAGGTGCAGCATTTTTGATAACAGCTTAGAATTAAAAAAGAGACCAGTGTTTGAAAAATCTATCAAGTCAAAAAACGTGTTATTCACATAAACATATTTAAACATTAATACACAAACTTTGATTTTCAAACACTGGACTTTTTTTGACCGCATAGTAGTACTAAGTGTTCATTGACAAAAGGGATGATAATCAACAATAAACCATTACAAATTTTGTAAGTGTTGACATGTACCAATTTCCTCTGGTTGTATGTGTTTCCAAGGCTTTTTTAGTAGGAGATTTTCCCATTTGTATTACACTTCTGTATAGAAAAATGCATATTTTTTTTTCTAGATTCAGATTTCATAGAAGTGAAGGCACACAGTTGCATATCCGCAGTTTGAATTGTTTCCCTTTTAAATTATTTACTATTGGGAATAGCTAAACAGATGTTCATTTTTAGAAGGGGTAGGAATGTACAAAAACCTCAAAAACTCTTTCACGAGCCCCGTATCTGGTCAGATAGATTTCACGTGGAGGTAGATCAACAAGAGTTTCGTTTTCAAGGTACTAGAATTGGTTTTATAAGCTAAATCATAGTTGCCTTGAAAAATAAATGACAATGAAAATTTTACTTCTAAAGAGAAATCGTACCGTACTTAAAATTGCATTACGCCATTTTCAGTAAAAAGAAGGATGTGGAAGAAACGAAGAAAGTCAAGTTCTCAGTTTTTTTTTCAAATTGTTTCTGGAATGATTCGACTTACCTTAATTTCTTTTCACAAAAAGTGCAACTTTTCTTATACCTAGTTTAATTGTGTCTTTGTCTCTTCTAATTTAGGATTTCTGTATACAGGTATTTATTGCGATAAGTACATTGTCAAATTGCTTTCAAACAAATTAAAATAATTACATATTCAACAATCACCAGTAGATGATCACTACTCTCATCTATATCTTGAAAATGAAGCTCTTGTGGACTTTTGCTTAAAGTCCTTGTTCTGTCACTTGAAGTTTACAGATATGAATTAGATAGAATAGATTTTGGTTTATTGTGCGACTTAATTAAGAGTTAGATATTTTTCGTCAAATTATTCAATTAAAGGCTTGTATAATGTAGTAGTTTTCACTGATGTGTTAATATTTGAATAGTCATCAAATAAATGATTTTATAATGTAATTTTTCAAATAATTTTGGTGTTATTCCCTCCTACGACTTCCTCAGTTTTATCAGGTTTTTATCATCTGTCTACCAGCAAATGTCAAATACAGAGATACCCCTTTATGTATAATACCCCCCTTTCTAGGGAAATGTGTTCGAAACTAACAAACTCCTATGGTGTTTTCTTCGGCGCCTTAAAAGACATAATATGAAATAACGGAAACTGTAAAGCCACCAAGATGACGAGGTCTTGGTCCCAGTGATTTGTTTTTATTGGGTTTTGAATTGAAAGTGAACGTAACTCAACTGGAATATACTTGTATATTGGACCAACAACAATGCACTGCTGAGGCATACTCGACTTTAATTGACATAAAAGATATAAAATGTTGGAGATGTCGCCACTTCGATTATATTCATCAGTTTTTTTTATCATCACTGTCTTAAAGCAAATGTCAAATGTAGACATCCACTTGGAAAAAGTGTTCCAAACTAACAAAATCCTATCACCAATGCCTCAATAAAGATTTAGTATAAAATAGTGGAAACTGTAAAGCCACAAAGATGATGAGATCTCAACCCCAGTGATTTGTTTTTATCGGGTTTTGAATTGAAAGTGAATGTAACTCGACTGGAATATGCTTATATTGGCACCAACTCTAATTAACAAAATATAACTCATTAGAGAAGATATGTTACAGGGTGTCCTAGAATAATGTGTACAACGGAAGACCACAGATTCGTGGACTCAAAATAGGCAGATCTAGGCTTATTTACCTGTATCCGAAATCGCTTCGTTTGGCCGCTAGATGGCTTCAAAGTTCGTGAAAATTCTTTTAATTTTGTAAATAACTCGAATACCTATTAATCGATTTTGATTATTTTTTGGATGTGGATTTTTGCTTTCAATCTATACATTTTGGTATTATACAGAGTGTTTTTTAAAACCTACAACTCCTACAAAATTGATGTATGGTGATAATATCCGTTCATGACTTTTTCCTCTTTCGGGCAAATATGGCAACTATTTTTTATCTGATAGGTGATACTATTTGGAAGTTTTTGCGCCTCTTGTAGAATTTTGATTAAATGAGCGGTTTGGGTACAAAAAATATTTTTTAAATGTCTACATTATCGTGCCACCCATATTATAATAGTTAACAAAGTGCTAGTAGACACTGATTTTGTAGGTTGACTGTAATTTTAGTCTGATTTCTAAGTCATTGTGCCTGACAATTCTTAATGAGTGTTTACGACGATAAGATATATCACCCGTTACTTCATTTTTCGATATGGATACACACATACGACGAATTAGAGTTATTTACAATATGTCTAATATTATTGAAAAAATTAGAAAAAACAATCAGATACAACTCATTGATAGCATTATTATTGGCCCTTTATTCTACCCAATAAACTGAATGGGGAATTTTATTTAGAATTTTTGCAAAACACTACCCGAGTTAATGGAAGGTGTGCAGTTATTTATTACTCAGAGCTAAGATGTGGTTCATGCATGATGGACTTTCACCACATTTCACTGTAAATGTCCGGCAGTATCTGAACCAAAGATTCCCTCCTCGATGGATCGGTAGAAGGGATAATGCTCCTGCTAACTGGCCTGTATGTTCACCCGACTTAACACCTTGCGACTATTATCTTTGGGACACTCTGAAAACTAGTGTATGCATCTAACATCATTAAGAAAAGTTATGGATGCATATCCAAATTGCCGTCAAGAACTGCAAAGGGTGTCCTTTAACTTTCTTCGCATATTTAACCTTTGTTGTAGAAACAACGGTGGTCATTTTGAACAGTTTTTATAATAAGTTATACTAAAATTAATAACATCAACTTTGTTACTTTTATCTCCAGCATTTTTTATTATATTTGATTGTTTTTACTAATTATCTCAATAAAATTAGGCATGTTGTAAATAAATCTAATTCGTCGTACGTGTATGTATCCATATCGAAAAATGAAGTAATATGTGATATATGACGAGATAAGTGCCGAAATATTAAAAAGTCTCGAAAGAAATTGTGGAACCACTAACTTATATTTTAAATTAATGTTTAAAAATGGGTATATACCCATCTGCGTTTAAAAATACTATTGTGATTCCACTTTATAAGAAAGGAGATAGTGCTTTAGTCAGTAATTATAGGCCTATTTCTCTTATTACTCATATTTCTAAAGTATTTGAAAGGCTTATAAAGAAAAGATTAATTTCCTTTCTCAACAAATACCGAATACTCCGGAAATCAGTTCGGTTTTAAAGAAAAAACGTCCACTCAAGATGCCATTCTGGCCTTAATAAGTCCAATCTACAATGCACTGGAAAAGACTAAACCTTGCCTCTGCATATTTATCGATTTAGCAAAAGCATTCGACACTGTTAGTCATCGCTTACTCCTGCAGTCGCTTGAAAACATAGGCATTCGAGGAAGTTGTCTGAACCTGTTTGAAAATTATTTATCTAATCGTTATCAGGTTGTAAGAATGGGTGACGACATCAGTGATCGCAAATTAGTGAATTGGGATATCCCACAAGGTACGGTTTTGGGACCCATACTGTTTAATATCTATATAAATGGCTTATTTTCATTGAATAGTAAGGGAACGATAATAGGATTTGCAGACAACACCGCAATTTTTTATGAAGATACCGATTGGGCAACACTAAAACAAAATGTCGAATCTGATTTTAAGATAATAAAAAATTGGTTAAACCACAGACTACTAACTATTAATATTGAAAAAACGTCAAACGTTTAGCTGTAACACAAATTGTCTTCCTTCCTTTGATCATCTGAATATTTTCTTACAAGGTCAGCAGATCCCCATATACCCTGTAAATGAAATTAAATACCTAGGAATTTATATTGATAAACACCTTAAATGGGATTTTCATACTAATTATATAATTAGAAAGTTACAGTCCATCATATATAAATTTAAATGCCTAAAAAACTATCTACCTATTAAATATCTGAAGACTTTGTATGTATTATGCCGTAGCTGAAAGTCATATTCGATATGGCATTCACGCTTGGGGTTCTGCGCGAAGGGTTCATATTAACCCCCATGAAATCCTTTAAAAAATATTTTTGAAGATAATATTTGGAAAAAATATTACTCTTCAGACTTGCTATACGCTGAGAGTAGGATTATGGACATTCGGCAGATTTATTATTATTGTGCATTATTAATATATCACACCAATAAGAGTAAGGCATTAGTTCCTAGTCATAACTACTTTACTCGTAATAAAGACTATCATATCGTACCTTTAGTAATTAAATCCTTCTCCCAACGCTGCCATTTTAACATATTTTATTATTACTTTTGTTGTACAAAACAAGTGTTTAGTCACTTATTGTCTACTTATTTATTCACTATTATTCTTACTGCTGTATTTTATTATGTATAAAATTGTTTGTGTGAATAAATTAATTTATTATTATATTATTGTATCATATAGTAAACACTCATTAATTAAGAAATGTCAGGTACAATGACTTCAATATCTAACTGAAATTACAGTCAACCTACAAAATCAGTGCCTATTAGCACTTTATTAGGTATTCTAATATGGGTGGCAAGATAATAATAATATTTTTTTGTACTCAAACCGCTCATTTAATCAAAATTCTACAAGAGTCCCAAAAACTTCCAAATCACATTAAAAATAGTCGTCATTATTGTCCAAAAGAGGAAAAAATTATGAATGGATATTATCACCACACGTCAATTTTATAGGAGTTGTAGGTTTTAAAAAACACTGTATAACACCAAAATGTGTAGATCGAAAAAAAGTTCACACCCCAAAAATTATCAAAATCGATTAATAGGTATTTGAGTAATTTACAAACTTCAAAAAATTTTCACCAACTCTGAGGCCATCTAGTGGCCAAACGAAGCGATTTCGGATATAGGTGAATTAGCCTAAATCTGCCTGTTTTGAGTCCACGAGTCTGTGGTCTTCCGTTGTACACATTATTCTGGGACACCCTGTATAAAACAGACTTTATTTCTGCTAAGAGGTGAACACGAAGGCCATTTCGAAAGTGTTTTAGATTGATGGAGAAAATTAATTTTTCAAGTTCAATTTTAATAAAGTTTACTTCGAAATTTGTTAAATATTGTTAGTGTCTCTACCTGAATTATTAAATAGGTAAGTGATTTAAATTTGGATGTGTAACAGTATATTTTGCCTTAAACTAAGTGGAATGAAAATGATGTTCCTACACACATACAATTTTATGTTCAGTTTAATTCAAAATACACTGTTGCACAACAAATTCTTGATTATTTTTTTTAGTTCTTTTTATAGCAACACGTACATCCTTTTCACAAAATACTTTTTTACTGTCGATGTCACATAATACAAGATGGCATATTAAGTGGATTTTATACACGTTGTTTTATTTGAATCTGACAAAAGTAAAATGAATGGATACCTTTCCCCACTCAGATTAACCGTCTAAATAATATTTTTCCATATAATTTTAATTGGTTTGAGTTAGAGACCCCTTACTTGATACGTAACGTCTTTTTTCTTCAAACGTCATATCAGCGACAACTTATGTGACGTTACTTAATAATATAGTGTCATTTATATGCCTAGGAGTATAAGTATAGGCCAGTCATTATAGCTTTTTTCGGGAAAAAAATACTATTAGAAGGTTCTCTGCGCAATATTGTTCGGAAACGTGTTATAAACAAAATATCAAAAATCAAATCGAGACTAGTTGGGAAACTTTATTTAAACAATTGCCAAAGTTATGGAAAAGTGTTTTTTTAACTCGCTTAAAAAAACTGTATGTGATTTTACTATAGCGAACTGGACTGTATTAAAGTTAAATGTTGTTAATGTCTGTGATTACTCACCAGTACAGCAAAATGGTGCCCCCTTCCTTCTGTCGCACTAGTAAGGATAAGAAGGAAGGAAAATACAGGTAATAACACTAATACGACGAAC